GAAAGACCAGGGTCTACCACGAAAGACCAGGGTCTACCACGAAAGACCAGGGTCTACATACGAGAGACCAGGGTCTACCAACGAGGTACCAGGGTCAACCTCGATAGGCCAATGTCTTCCAACGAGGGACCAGAGTCAACCTCGAAAAGAATGAGGTCCATCTTGAGGAACCGCGGTCCATCCGACTAATTGCGGTTAACTCCTTTGAATGGAGCACGCTTGAACCGTACATTCTTCTCATCCAACGGTCGTCCCCCGTCCCTTTTTAGCGCCCCGTCTCTCTGTCCCTTACCCAACGGTCGTCCCCCGTCCCTTTTTAGCTCCCCGTCTCTCTGTCCCTTACCCAACGGTCGTCCCCCGTCCCTTTTTAGCGCCCAGTCTCTCTGTCCCTTACCTAACGGTCGCCTCTCTTTGGCAAGTCCCCTTCTCTTTGACCCACCGGTCCTCTGACTTACCAGTTCTTGAAACGCTTTTCCACAACTACAAGTGCTACCAAGAGCAGGGGGTTGCAGGTGGCAAGCGCCAGAATAAGACTTAGGTTGTAAGAGTCTCTTGGTCCGTGGAACTTACGACTACATAACAGAATCAGGAACGGTTGTAGACCATAAAAGATACATTTGCCTTAACAACGCTTTTTGTTTATTTACTGCAATAATGATCGTTACTATTGCTTGCGGCATTGCTAATTGGCTAACATGCAAGCTTAACAATAAGCTAAAGAAGAGTTATAAAATATATGTAACAGATGACTGTAACACCTCCCTCCAAAATGGTGAGTAATTCTGTACTTTATTCTCATTAATGCCAACGCACACTAACGTGCCGTGTTAACCCGTTACAGACGCTCTCATCAGCGGCGCCGCTTTACACGTTGCATCGAGATCCTCACCTGCTCATCGGAAAGTCCGTCGATCCTAATGAGGAGTGCCCTGATCTAACGTCGCGCTCTTCGGCGCCGGCGTTTTTATCTCGGCTACGGCCATGCCAGGAATCTTTTACTTAAACCATACAATCGACATTCTGAATCTTGCAAAGAGAGATTCAGAATGTCTATTTTGTATTGTCTCTGCGAGAAGTAACCAATGTCTGCTTGGCCGTGGCGCCCAAATGCTTTGTACATGATCGTTTCAGCAACAACAACTCAGCTCTCCATTAACGTCGTCGCTGCGGATCACAAGACGTTTTGCTTCTGTCAAAGTCACGATCAATGCAAAAAGGACCGGACGTTGATGATTTGTTTAGATTCTATCGTTCTTAGCAGTGCAGATGAAATGAAGCGGGTGTCACCAAGCGAAAACACAATGGACAGCTAACGACGCAAAAGCGACTTGCCATCTGCTGAAGAATCGACACTTCCTAGCAGCCAAGCGCAGCTACAAACAGAAAAAATGGTGCTGAAGCTGTTTCGTGCTATCATGATCGACATGTGACTAACTCTGGACGGATAGTTAATGCAGCGTATATGCAGCTGCCTCCCATATAAACATCAATGTCTTCTACAAAACAAACAACGATGACGGCGCGGTGTCCAGTCAGTAAGATGAAAGACAAACGTATGATCAAAAATTGATTCATGTTCGTCAATATCAAAGATTTGGAAAGTAATAAAGCTGGTCTTCTTCACCCAACAATACACTACAAAGTAGTGGCACGGATCGGCAGAGTTCGTACTAAAAATTAAACCGACGGCACTACATTCGGAAGAATGCTGATGTCAACAACGCTGCCATAATCGCTAGCCTGGCTGGCTGTTTGAGTTGCGTTCGCAGGCTGGGGGCAGCCAAAAAAGGATTCCATGTCTTGACGCCAATTTGCGTGCATAATTTTCTTTTGTCCGCTCTTGATGGCCTTGACGATGGTCATGCAGCGTGATTCCATTACCCCCCATTCAGCTTGGAACTCAGCAGAGTATTCGGGAGTACCACCTAGACATTGATTCTCGTACATGCAAACTTGAGATTCCAGGTCAGCCATGACCTCAGGGCACTGACCACCCATATCAGACATTGTCTTGTCATACCAACTCGACACAAGCTCCTCTTCAAGGCTTTTCGTTGCCACCGTGATCACATTCATGATGTTGGTCCCAAGATCATTTTGGAGAGAACTTGTTGTCGAAGCTACTGTCACGGTGGTCGCTCCCAGAACGTTGCTGCTCAAAAGGGAACTGTTTCCATTCGGCACGTCTTCACATGCGCTTTCACGACGAATATTCGATAACAACCCATTCTCCGCTTCGAGTTTGCGTCCATTACCAGTAGTTGTTCGTGCCGGAGCAGACGTGCCGTCGCAGTATAAGAACAGTTCTGCGAGCTGACCTTGAATTTGATACGTGTAGCTATCAGCGCCCAAGTCACGCGTATCCATAAGTGCGATATACTGGTCAGGAAAAGTTGAAAAATATGGACCGAGGATTGGGTCTAGTCTAACGTCAATCGTGGTGGTACCCCTCGCGCCAGTGCCCATGAAAACTACGTCAGTCAGTTTGACTTTATCTCCATTTCGTTTAGTGCATTCAAAGGAGGCAAAGGGGTGGGATAACTCTCTCATCATATGTGAGACGCTGAGTTCCAAAATGACACTTGTAACCGATAACTATAAAAAAGATCAATCATGGCGTGGAGTGACCAGAAGAGCGGGTCTCCCGGAGAAGCAGCTGTGTTCATCATACCTCCTAAACTCGAATGAATGTCATTGTGGCAGCCTCTCTCGATACGTTTTGACATATTTGCAAAGTTTTGTACTGCCAAAAAGCTGTTCACGCAAAGACGCAAGGTTTTGCTGAAGCTGGAACGTTTACAGTGCCATAATTCCTTCGAGTACAACAGCCAACGCAGTCGTTGCCAGAAACGTTTCGGGACTGACAGAAGTGGTTTAGAGGTGGCTCTTTCTCACACATTCCTTCAGTTTTTCGACCGCTGAACGTGGACTGTTTGCCAGACTCCGTTCCCGTAACCTCCAAGCTCCTTAAAGATTGCCGAGCAGTCTCCAAGAGAAGAGCACGTACCAGCAAGTAAACGGCTTACTGAATTTGCAACGTGTTCATGTACGGTAGTGTGAGACAAACAAATTCCGGTCCTTGTGCACGAAGCATGTTCTCAAAGGCGAGGAGAAAACAGCGATGCCACAACCCAAACATGCAATTACCGTGTGCAGTCATGTGGGAATGCATGTTGGTATGTATTTCGACAAACTTGATGTAGACACCAGAGTCCATTGCAGCGGCCAATGCTCTCTTATACGTGTCCTTCTCAGTCGGTGTTAGGACATCCCAATCCTTTCGAATACGGGGGCACTCTTCTTGTGCTTCAGTTGGCACAGATGTCGAGACGAGCACAAGAAAAGCAGCTCTCAGTATCCACCCCAGATTCATGACTATTCTAGACAAGTAGAAGACTAGTTGAAAGAAGATTGAGTAATGAGCCTTTTCATTGAGGAGAGAGAAGGTCGTGCCTGAAGCAGAACAGTTGAAAAAAAGCAAACATTTCGACACATTGTGCAATTGTTACTGTCTCTTTGCACTGACTTCTACTCTTGTTTCTATATGCAACGAAGCCAGAGATCATACGCAACAAGATGACATTCGACCCCACAACAAATCCAAGTGATAGCGATAGCCTCTCGTATCGTTCGTTCGTGTTTGCATGTCTTTGCTTCGTTCCACGCAGATTGGGCTCTCACGTGAGAGGAAATATCCAATAAAGGTGCTCTCTACTTCAACTTGTCGTCGTCTAATGCTATTTTTGTGGTTGTGGCATCCGGTATCGACGTTGTCACGAACATCGAACAATTGAAGCTGTTGATAACACGCTGAGGGAGTTGAGCTACTACCTTTTCTCTGTGCTGTGGCGCAATATCTGCATCACTAGCGGCACTGTTGGCCACGAGTCTAGAGGACTGCAACGTTGTCGTAACTGTGGTTAACAATGCACCCGCGAGCCGTGAGAGATTATTACATGGCATTAAAATTGTAGAACGGGATCATAATGAGGTATCAAGGTCAAAAACTTTGTGCTTTGGCGCTCATCTTGCAATGTTGATTCAGAAGCGTCTTTAGTCTTGTGGTTCATAGGAGACACGATTGAAATCGAGACTTTTCTTGTTTTCATTCAGCAGGAAAGAGCGCTTGACCAGGCTGCAGCTTAGCAACCTGGTTTTCAATACCATCTTAAAGATAAATACCACAGTTATAAAAGTCGCATCTATTACCATGTAGTCACTACCACCGAACATTTGTCTGCGCCTCTCCAAGCACGCCATCTATTTTGCCTGCGCAGCGTCATAGCTTCGAATTTTCTCGCGCTACTGTAACAGGCAAATCAACGGGCTTCGTTGTAAGGTGGCCCAACGAAGGATACGATCATAGAACGCGTCATTCTATTTCGCCACTTGGATGCACTGAAAGTGATACAGCACTTTGTGCAGCAAGTAATCACGACATTGGTCTTGCGCGAAATTGCATCAGAATTGGAGCGCTTACGCATCATGTACCAGCAAAATCTTAGGCTTACCATAATTGATGTGTCCAATATAAACTTATCGATGTCACCAACATAGAGTGCATTTATACAACACATCTTTGTAGACGTCGTTGCGTTAGTGCGTCCTTCAATTGTTTCTAGCCCTCAACCTTGTGCAAAACGCCGTCTAGACTTTGTTTTTTCCCTACGTGATAGATACCCTGTACGTAAGAATAACGAAAACCATGATATTACCATGTGAGTCACAGTAGTTATCATGTTGTCTCTCGCGGGCTTGCTTGACGTACCTCTACCGAGTAAAGAGCCACACATATACTTACATACCAAGCACTTTATCTCGTAGCAAAACCAAACAGAACCTCTATTTCTACATGAAAAAGACATGACTGCATGAAGTACTTTTACAGTGTAAATAAACGTAATCCGAAGCGTGAAGACGCAAACAAAGCGTCTTGGATCTCGGAATCGGTCATACAATTGCTCTGATCACCTCAAACTCTCCCTGCATCCACTGGGTAGTCACACAACTGTGCAGTGCAACAACGACGGCAACAAGAACAAACCACAAAATCGATCCATTAATAAAAATAGAGATCGTTAGCGAGCTAGCAGAAGGAGGCAAAGACGGCCTCGGGTCTGCGGACTGCACCATACTAGCCCGTGCTTTGCAACTCAATCCATGTCGACAGATACGTAATCTGCACGTGCAGTCGCACCTTCCTCAGCTGGTGTCGCGTTTCCAACATTTTCTGTTGAAGCTTGCTCGGGTGGTCCACCATTCTCTGAGCCATGAAAGCTGACGCAAGAAATCGCACAGCAAACAAAGCATAACGCGAGTCCGACCTGTAGTAAGGAGTCCATCATAATTAGCGAAAGCGACTTGAATCAAAGTGAAGTACACTGAATCACGAACCACAATGAGCCATGGCAACAGCACGTAAATACTGGAAAACGAACCGACTTGCAGTCTTGCGGACAGGATGAAAAATGGAGACATGAGCGCACAAATGACGACGATCGTACACAGTGCATCAAACAGCGAAAAATTTGACACAACATCGTCCTCAGTTACCGACTCGCGCGTGTAATCGTCGTGTGTGCACTGATCTTTCGGCGGAGTAGACTCGGATTCTTTTGCCTTCGTCTTGGCACGAAAATATTTTCCAACGGGAAACGAGATAAAGAATGCGACGTAAAGCCACACGGGGATGAAAACAAGCCACCAACTGGTGCCACCTAGATTGCCGTCTACCTTTAGTCCCAGTAACACTGCTTGAGCGATCCGAGCAAAAGTCGAAATCATTCTTTTGGCCACAGCGACAACTAAAGCAAAACGCTGTTTTTTGATATCCTCGGTATGTGTCACACCAGCTCCTTCGCTGTTCTTTGTTAGCATATTGTAGCCCAGCACTCCCCCAGCAAGTCCTTCCAGCAAATTTAGACCTTCGTAGACGAAGTACGGAATCAATACCTCCATCAAAGTCCACTGAACGTCTCGATTCAGTTTTAAAGCCAAAAAAATCTGCAACACCAAAAGCAGCAGCGCCTTAAGGAACGCATAAAGCTTATAAAGCACTGGGTTTTTGTATGTCTTCTCTTCCTGATCCGCTTCAGCATTTGAAGACGCGTAGGTGCAACCCAAGCAGCAGTAGTAAATGGTGTCGACAATCCATAGCGGAATACAAACCACTGCCCAGTTCCAGGAAATGGTTGAGTCTGCTCTGAGACACCAGAATACTGACAGATTCATAAACATACACAAATTAGTCCCTAAAAAATAAAGATACGACGATTTTTAATCAATAGTTTTTTGCATCTCGTACTTGGAATAAGCAGAAAAAAAACAAAAAGCAGTGTCACTAAGAAAATAAGGACACATTTTCCCTTTATTCCAAGTGCACCCATGGATCGGAACAGTAAGATGGACATTTGTTCTGGACTCATATTTCCATAATCTTCCATTAATTTAATTCCATCTTCACCAACTCTAGTCACATTTAGTACAACAAATTCATTATAAATTCTATACATTTATCTATATATCTAAATGATAGAGATTTTCACGTACTGATCATAAATCTCACGTTTTTGTGGATCCGACAGAACGTCGTATGCTTGTTTCATACGTGTAAACTCTTCTTGAGACTCAATTGTATTACCACGTTTATCCGGATGTAGCTGAAGAGCTTTACGACGGTAAGCTTTCTTGATTTCCTCGGGCGTAGCGTCTGGTTTAATACCCATAAGGTCATAGCAAACCATACTTGCTACCTTTTTTTATTACTTCCATGAGCCATGTTGACAAATTTATTTGAGAAAGATTTTTAGATGGGAAAATAAAATTCAATCAAGTCTCATTTAGCAGAAGATTCGGTTAAGTAAAATGCGACATTTATTCTTGCTGTTATATCCACTCATTTGTTTCTACGGTGTGAGATAGAACACATAACCAGGTCTATTTCTCCTAATTAAATTACTACTTAACATGTTTTAAAGTGAATACATAACCTCTCTATTATTAATGAATTGGGTAAAAGTAGATAAAAGCATGCTATCAAGACTGCTATATCCAAATCCAGTATGTCTGCTATCCGTAAGAAACACCGACGGCAATTTACGCAATCTCATGACTATCACGTGGCTTACGGCCATTAATAACCATGGAAAATTTATTTGCTCTATAAATGCTACACGACATACAGCCAATTTTATTAATCAGACAGGTGCGCTCTTTGTGCTGAACGTTCCCGTCCGAGGGATGGAAGAGCTTGTCTTGGCTATAGGAAGTTGCACTGGAGCTAACGTGGAAAGGTTTGAGCAATTTGACATTGCAGTCTGTGCTCCAGGAGGTGGAGAGCTTGACGAGATATTATTGAATGCAGATAAAGTGCAGATAAAAAAAACAAAATTGTCGAAGAAAGAAATAGCGCGACAGGAACGCTGCCATGCAATGCGCCACAGCATTGCGCTACGTGACTGCGTTGCTCACATGCTGTGTCGAGTGGAAAGCGTGACGGAAGACGATGGGCATCTACTGCTTCGGTGTTTGCAGCTTGCTGGGTGGGCTCGACAAGCGTACTGGGACGGATACAACTTCATTCCGCAAGATATGACGGCTGTAGAGCCGTACCTTACGTTCCTTGGGAGCAAAGTTTTTGGCTGTGTAGTACCCGTAGACTTTAATCCGACACAAAAAAGATTGGAAGATGCGTAAGTCGGATCTCTAAGTCCATTGTCTACACTGTTACATCATTAAACAGTTGGACGGTAACACGTAACAACACGTCATTGATCCCATACCCCTATTACCACTGCTATTCCTCTGCTGTCCCAGTCCCTGAGAATCCGTATTCTACCGTAATCAGACGCGCGTGCCAAAGAAAACGTACAAGCACCTGCTTTGAAGCTGTCCGTTCGCTCAGTGACTTGACCGTCTAGCTTTGCTGTCGATTGGGCTCGACGTTGGACGCTACTCTGTACGGTCACGAACCGGAGTAGAGGCTTGTGGTCGTGAGCCTCTAAATACAGTGTGCTAATAGTGTCGTTTGCGGCGAACGGGAGTGAGAGCACAGGAAGAAGCGGTGGCCTACTGAAATGAGGCGGTCTGTCAACTCGAAGCCGTCACCAGACTCCACCACCGCATGGCAGATGATGTCATCGGCGGCGCCGCTTTACACGTTGCATCGAGATCCTCACCTGCTCATCGAGAAAGTCCGTGGACCCTAATGAGGAGTACCCTGATCTAACGTCGCGCTCTTCGGCGCCGGCACTTCTATCTCGGCTACGGCTGTGCCAAGAATCTTGTATGTCACAATGAACAGACATCCTTCATCACTATCTGCTTATCCTAATCAAGATATGTAATAGTTTTTAATACGTTATAAACTTGACATGTGACCACCTGTCGTGATTCGATACATTAGCAACAGCGACACCAGCAGTCATTACAACTTGACACTCAGTGGCTATAATCACAACATCCTTAAGAAACTGCTCGCTATGACAACATTTCGATTTTACAATGACATGACTAAATCGAATAATAAAGCCCTTTTAAAATGAATATTCAAGGTATGCATTTAGAGAAATAACATAATACAGTACTTATTGATTTGTTGTCAGCTCGACATTTTTTATTAGTGACCGTTTGCATCATGCCGTCTAGTGACAAGAAGAAGCACTTTGAATTGGTCGTACAGGATGATTTTCTTGTCGTACTGCATCCTATTCATCCATTGAGTCTTCACATTCCTCGTTCTTTGTCTACCAATGCGTCGTTGGGACTAAGTGTGGAGCACGTGAAGGATTTTCAGCATGTGCACGGCCGTCGAATGGCCTTTGACGCCATTTACGGTGTCTTTTGGTTGCTGCATGGTCCGTATTTGGCCTTAGTGACGCAATCCAAGCTTATAGCTAAAGGCGTTGACGATGCAGAGATTCGACTGGTGCAACAGCTGGAGCTACTGCTTATCCCGACACAGAACCTGCCCGTACTCACACCACAGCAGGAACAGGACGAACGCACATACATTAACATGATAACGACTGACATTGCAGTTCAAAAGCTTCATTTTTCCAAAAACTTTGATTTTACACACACGTTGCAGCGTACGGATATTTTCTGATGTCGATACGGCGGCATAAGAGATTCACTTGACGACTTGATATTGTCGTTTTGTGCAGGTATTGCCGCGTTTAATGGTAAAATAGGAAGTATTGCAGAGCGTGCGGATGACCGCTTCTTTTGGAACAAGTCGCTATGCTCCGCTTTCATAGGTAATACGGTAAACAGAAGCCAGTTTGATGACGAATGGGCTGACAATTTTTTCGTTTGTATTTTTGTAGAACAAAAGTACTTTGAGTGGGTGACTCCGATGACGCAGGCTTATGTAGAATTGACGGAAAAACTCACGCTGCATGGCAAGTCCTTTCGCATACTGTATATCTCGAGGCGGTCGTGTAAACGGCAGGGAATGCGCTTTACAATGCGCGGTGTCGATGATGATGGAAATGTCGCCAACTTTGTCGAAACGGAGCAGATTTGTATGTTTGACGACGGTAGACAGACGTCATTTGTTCAGGTCCGGGGCTCCATTCCGGTTTTCTGGAGCTCGCCAGCTACAATGAAGTACGCACCCAAGGTTTACCAGGCTGGCGATACGGAACGTAATGTGACCGCTTTTCAGAAGCATGCCTACGAGCTTATGTCACTATATGGTCGTGTGCTTTTTGTAAACCTCATCGACAAGAAGAGGGAACAGCTTAAGCTTGGTGAGGCCATGGCCAAGACCATTGCTGACGCCGCTACCCGCGACTCGCATATTCTTGCGGCCGTCCGTCTCGTGTGGTTTGACTTTCACCACGAGTGTCGTAACATGAAGTGGGGAAACCTTGAGAAATTGATCAAGCAGGTTGATGACGACTTCCTGGACCACGGGTACGTTCAGCTGCGGCGTCTAGATATATCGCATGTAAGTTCTAAGCTGCTATTTGGGTACACTTGTGGGGTCTAGGTACTTTTGCAAGAGTGCAGATGGAGCTGTCGTGAACAAACAGTCTGGCGTGGTGCGCACCAATTGCATGGACAACCTCGACCGCACTAACGTCGTTCAGGTGAGAGAGAAAGTTTGTGCGTCCCTTGCTGCTATAACTAAATGTATGTGCTTTTTCGCAGTCGTTATTCGGTCGGCGAAGTTTATTGCTACAGCTAAGTGAGACCGAAGCGCTGCAAGGAAATGTGCTTAGCTCGCCTTTTGTAGAGCTCGAGTATGCATTCAAGCGCGTGTGGGGCAACAACGCCGACGCGATCAGCCTTTTCTACGCCGGGACAGGTGCTCTAAAGACGGACTTTACGCGCACTGGTAAACGTACCAAGAAGGGTGCACTCATCGATAGTTATAATTCATGCATGCGCTACATCAAGAACAACTTCATGGACGGATACCGGCAGGATGTGCTAGATCTGCTGCTGGGGCGTTACTCAGTCTCGCGCAGCAAGCTATCGCCATTCGTGACGCAAGGCGAGAGCCTTGGGTCGACGCTAGCCAAGCTCATGGGCCTTGTGATCGCCTTCTTTTTCGTAGAAACGTATCGCACAAGCGGCCAGACCTTTCTGTTTGATCGGATATTCCGTTCCTTTCTACTGACGCTCCTCATTTGTGCTGGCGTGTTCAGCGTGCTAGTGAAGAAGGGAAACGTGTTGGGCAAAAGGCTGGTGCGGCTGCCGAGTCTGTGTCCACAGGACGGCTGCATGACGGTGTGGAAACACTAGCTCAGAGCCTAGGCTAGACTGACTCATGACAATTGCTCAGGGTGATGCTGCCTGTAATCAGACATGGGACCAGTTGGAGAAAAAACGTGCACATGACAGGCTTAGACTAAAGTAAAAACTATATATAGTTGTATACAGTAGCTCCACCTGTGATTCATGATAATTCAGTGGTACAAAAATCCATAATATGATATTTATTGTCACATTGTTTTGTTGCTAACTGAAGCGCAATGTTCAAAAACGGTGCATCCAAATCTTTGGAGCGCAACATATGCATCCAAACAAATTGATTACGTTGATAATTATGGGTGCAAAGTGATCTGCAACAGTGCATCACAGTTTTTTCAATGTGCTGTAGCTATTTTAATAGGTCATACATGATGATCAGTGTTCACGCTCTAATTTCTCACATGACTTGGTTTGTGGATTTCCATACACTTTTACGAGTTTTAGCTTGTCTGCAGTGTGTCACCATCGCACCTGAAGCAATGCATGTTGCAGTTCTTAAACCTGAACTAGTCGCACGCGTCACCGATGGACTTGAAGCAAGAACACCTGTGAAATGCATACCACATTTTTGTATAGTAAAGTCAAGATAAACAAAGGTTACGATATGCGCTTCGACAGTTTCTTATCGGTGATTCGTCGAAAAGCGTTGAAGTGAGTAATTCTCGGAACAAGAGACCCTATTTATGCAACATTTTGAAGTTGTGCCGTTTTATCAAAATTAAAAATATAAGAGATGGCAGCATTTTCACCCCCCATCCGACTCTAATTCAAGTGAAAGTTTCTAATAACCTGTAATAAGTCATGAAAGACATGAAGTCACGAGGACAAACCGCTGCACTATATCACCTAACTTGCTCATTGTACAATTTACCTGACAACCTCATAAACATCTCTAATTTTTGCAATGTTAGCTAATACCTCACTTCGACTATCTAAGACTGCCGTTCAATGCATCAGGTCGTCGATCCCCGCGCGTGTGCTACAACAGACGTCATTCTCAAGCAAAACGAGTACTCCACAGGTCTCACAGGGTGAGAAAGCGTGGTGTGACATCTATGGTGTAGACTATGAGAAACAGATCCAAGAGGCGCTGCAGGAGTCTCCTGCTGCCACTGCTAAGCAAATCAATCATCCTACAGCCGCCTCAACAACTCCTTGTGTCAACGCTCACAGCAAGACTGATGTGTGGAACGTCGTGTTTGGTGAAAAGGAGTCGGAATGAAATTGTTCATTCAATAATTTGACGTCTTTCTTGGCTTTTGTCCTGCGCCGTATTTCAATATAAACGTCTGATTCTAAAGCAATTCTAAGCGGTATTTAGCAAAACTCAATAGGTTTCCAATAGACCCACCAGTATTAATTTACTATGCTGTTCACCCCCACGTATTTGCTTTTATTCATCATCATCATCATCATCATTCTCCAATGTAAAGTCATACGGTTTCCACTGGTCCTTAAAAGTCTGCGTGAGCTTTTTCTCTTCGAGTTTTGACACCACACAGAACTTCCAATTAGCACGACGTGGCATCTCTAACACACACGAAGCTGCGTGCCGACCAAATTGCACATAATGTTTCCCTTCAACGTGATGCAGCAGCTGCGTGACACCACCCTCGCCATCCGGTACTTCCGCGTACAAGAATGGTCTGCCCTCGGTCTGCTCTCGTAAAATCTCCAACGGACCAGTAGACGCAACGCTGTTGGCTTTCTCGGCATCACTACGCATCAACTCATGGAACTTGACATTGTATTTCTCTCCTTCAGTCTCAAAGATGCTGCGCGCAGTAAGCGCCTTTGCCTTGGGCACACCAACGACCTGTAAGTGGCAGTGCGTAGCTCCCTGCGTGACCACATTGCGATCAATTACTAGTAGCTCCTTATCTTGCAAAGCAAAATAGCGACGTAGCTCCGCCTTGAAGCGCTCCATCTCGCACCAAACATCGTTGCTTAGCGCTAGCGTGGATTGCCTCGTGTGCAATAGGCACGATCAGTAAGTGGTCTCCGCATATGGCGCCTTTGGGCATTGCAAGATAAGCTTCTTGACCAATACTCACGATCAAATGTCGCTCTAATGCTGGTGTTGACAGACAAAACCAGCACTCAGTGCGCTCTGGCAGAGCCAAACGAGTGTGTCTCTCTTGTTGAAGGTTGGCATGGCCTGGCAGCAATCCACCCTTTCGTTGACCCCTGGCCGCAATTTTCTGGTCGTAGAAGAACTGCGCACCACCATGGCCTTTTGTTGTAAGCTGCTCAATTTGGTCAGCAGAGAGACCTCCGATTGCAGCAGGGTCTATCCTCCTTCGTTTTGCGTTGAATTCCTCATTCCGTGAAGTAGCTTCGTCTAACATTGCGTAAAGGTAGGGATTTTTTGTAGTGCCAGCAGGAATGTCCATGTGTTGGCGCTCTTCGGCGCTCTGTTGTGTAAAGGGTACGACCTGCAACGCGTGCAGATATTTGCGAGTCTTGTCCTTAATTTTATTAACGCCACTAAGCCCAATAAGTCGCGTGATTTGCTTGCATCCTGTCCCTGCCACCTCACTCACATATGGCAGTCGCTGGTAGAATACGTCCCCGCGAGTCCCATCTCCTCCTCGGCTTGTAATATGATACTTTGGATGTACATGCCGCACAATTTCCCTTACAACCCTGCTTCCTCTCATCGCTTGTAAGCCGTGGGGGAGTTGCTGATCAGGTAACAATAGCTGGAAACTCATGGGATACTCTGCCGTTAATAAGAAATCTACATCTGCCTGAACTCCACTCGCAAGAAGCTGCTGCATCAAAACTTCAACCTAAAAAACCATGATTTTTCATTAGTTAATATTCAAATACATAAAGTTGCCATCCTCAGAACGCACCGACGCCTTCGAATATGTCAGCAGCGTTCCCTTTTCGTCCGGCTGACCATAAGTCTCCATACCCGACACATAAACCACCTTAAGTCCAGCAATCTGTTCAGCATGACGTCATCAAATTACCACCATTTAGTCAGTTCTTCATTCTTCACCACCAGTGCTGAGCTCTCACTCTCGTACAGTAGCAACTCCAGCCCCAGCAAGACAGAGGAAACCCTTGCCAATCTCCACAGGATCCACAAACTGCTCTACTTCACTCATTCTGTCAAAAATCATTCTTTGGGTCGCGTCTTCTTGCCATAAACGTGCAATCTCATGCCCTGGCAGGAAATACGTGGGAAGCGGAACTTGTTTGTTGCCTCCTGTCACGTATTCAACCGGCAGAGGAAAACAACGACCGACACACAAAAGCGCGTCAAACGGTTTGTCCTTTGCAGCTTCATTTATCTTTCGCACGCGCTCAAACAGCAGCTCCCAGTGGCCTTGCACACCACCGCACAGCAATACCTTGGGCATCTCGAGCCTTAGTTTTTGAAGTCGTCACTTTTAAAGCTCAAAAGCAAAATTTGCCGTAATTTCTCGACAAAATTTGGATAAAGAGTCGTAAATATCTGGAACATTCCAATGTTTTAGTCGAGTCTCCTTATTATTATTCAACACACAAATCGATTGACAGATTGGATTAAACAAGTGTTAAAGGAATGCGTCTTCTTCAATATTCATTCTTATCTCCTCACCGTTGCACACGTTATTTGTTCGCACCAGTTGAATCATATTGTCATCCAAAAGCTCTTCGTTATCATGGTGTAACTATTAACGCCAGATTTGCTTCGAAGGGCCCGCCACGTCATGTTTTCGCTGACCCCTCGGTTGGTATCGGCAGTCTCCCTTTGGCACCTGAGGAAACACAGGCTGAACGTGAATTACTTGACTCGTTACCAGAATTTCAAGAGGCAGCTCAGGTACTTTTGGGCCAAGGAGGAGAAAAGGCACGACTGCTGTCTAATTATAAGCGGGCCGAAAAGGTATTGCCTATGCTCCAGCGCACAGTCGAGATCTGCCGCTCGACCATGGGCTTTGAAAGTGTTTACCTACAGGCAGCTCTACGTCATTTGGTATCCACATTATTTATGAAGGGCGACATAAATGAAGCCAAAAAAGTTATGCAGGAACGAGGTGACGTCATGCAATGGCCAGTATCTGAGCACGAGCGTATGCTGCGTCTTCTGTTGCGCTCAAACTTGCCAAAGGAAGCGGAGATCTGGTGTCAAAAGGAGGACTTTACGAAACTATATCCAAAAGACGACATTGTGCCGCTCAAGTGGACGTTGTACGAATTGATTGGCGCTGAACTGAGTGGAGGGACAGAGCAACTGGCCAAGGCAGTGGAAGACCCGCTGTTTGTTCAGGCTGTCGAGACATTGAGAGAAAAGAAGGATGTTGTGCTGCAGCATGAAAAAGCAAGCAATGTGAAGGCAAGCGAAGTGCAACTAGGACGCGACATTCCCTACTTATTGGCACAGTATGCGTCGTTATCAGTGGCCAGCACGCAAGCATTACAGATCGATCCAAAAGCAGACTCTAAGAAACCTATGACTGATGCTCAGCTGGTGAGTTTGAATCAGGCTGAGGTCCTGTATAAGGAGGCGTTGGCATGGGTGGAGGAGACTGCTGCTGAGGGCAACAAGGATGCTTTGCTGGCATCTGGACCAAATGCTCCTTTTGGAGCTTGGGTTACGACCAACCTTGCTGAGCTGCTACTTCGCAAAGATAAGCCTGAGGAGGCTATGGAGTGGTTGGGCAAGGCCATGGACACGTTGCAGGCTGCGCAAAATGGTATTGGTGGCGGCGCTCTTGCATTGACACGCGTGCTTGGACTGATTGCGCGAGGTAGTCACGTAATGGGTCAAGCCGTAACGAGTGAAGGGTTGTTTGTTACAGTCGTCGAGGCATTCGAGCGTGAAGCTAATCTGTCCTCGACCGATTGTGTGGAGTTCGCCCGCGTGTTGCGTGCCTATGGCGATTTGTTGGCTAGCTGGGAGAAGCGCGAAGCTAGTGCAGCGAGGAGGTATGAACAGGCTGAGCGTGTCGAGCAGGATCTCGCTCGGATGTGCCAAGCCAACCAAAGCGTTGCTGCGTTGCATCCCATATTCTATTTGCCGCTGTAAGAAGGTTGTAGCTTTTAACAGCCAAAAGTTGCCACCTTCAAGACGTTCACACGTTGCTGCTTGACAACATTTACTGAGTGTAGTGAGAACACGAAGTTTGCCCCTTAAGAACACACTCACCATTGCAAAAATTTTATCACAAATTACATGCAACTCCCTTTAATTGGAAGGCAAGCTAGATTATCATGTTAACGTCGGGTTATATTGACTACCGCTAATTACAGGCTTGAGGCTTGCTTGACTCTGTTGCTATAACTTTTAATTATGACACATTGAATAGTTGACCGGCTTTCAGTGCGCTATGACTCTGTGTCACAACAGAGTCCAATTATAAGCTGAAATATTTGGACTACAGATCTTATCTCTTTTTCAAGGACAAACTGCCGCCAAAGCCACGCCAGCAACCAATTGCCTGCGCTGTTCCGAATTGGCCGTTATTTTCAATCTGTTTGTGTCCAGCCGCGTGTATACAATCGAACGAATGCTTTTATACAGGTCGTTCTCGTGTACTGGTAGCAAGCTGTGAGAGACCTCGGATATGATTCCGGTGGATCAGTCCTGCACACGTGGGCATGCTCGCGACAAAGCACGTGCGAAAGAAGTAACATACACCGGGCACGAATGGACCAGTGAGCACTCAAAAGGAGACGAGCAACTTTGAAGGGTACGCTGTGAATGAGAGCCAAAATTGTTTTAGACGACACTCACATCCGGACGGTACCAAAACTATCTGCTATCAGTCGCCTTTGCCATCAGTCGCCTCTTGCTATCAGTCGCCTCTTGCCATCAGTCGTCGCGTACCCTAATAGTCGTGGCTGTTCGGTGCGTCGCTTCATCTTTTCTTCATCATGTATCGAGACGTCGGCACTCACTGGCTCTCTGTGCAGCGTCTCTGCTCATGAATCACCGTTGATCTATAACACTCCTCCTTGTCGACGACTCCATGCTTCTTCCACGCCCTCGCTACGCGATCTTCAGCGTCTGCAACTCGACCAGCTTGCTCGCTCTTCACGTAGACAAGCGCCACAATGCCGCGTCGCGCTTGGTCACACAAATACTTGACGCAAACGTCGATGTCGCTTCACCTGCTATCTGCACAATTGAAGCCTGGTAGTCAATGTGCATCGTGAGCGGCAGTGTCGGTGTGGTAGAGTGATTTCTTAAAACTGCGTGATGAAACCCCAAGCCACTCACTGTGCCGGCCTACCGACTGTCGGAGGGGGGGGGTACCCCGATGCCGAGTATAGACCTTCTCTCACCTTGTGTACCCGTCGGCTGGCGGGTTGCACATCTTCGGAGGACTTGGTTCAGTTGTGGTGCTAGCCTTGAGAGAGGTCGACCTTGGGGTGCCTCGAATGGATACTTTACTAGGTAGGGGGAGGTGGCCACTCGGTCGACTAGGTCGAGGGTGGACTTATAACCAAATTCTTCAGGGGAGATTCTCAACCCTGGCCTTTCCCTTCCTTGATATCTCAAGGGTGTTAGCCGCCTGGCCTTCAATTGCTCCCGGACCACTAGGGCAGGGAGACCGCTTTCGATAGCGGGTTGAGCTGGGGGGTGCTACTCAGACGAACCCATAGGCCAAATGTATCCTGGGGTTCTATTCGCACTTGGGTATTACCACACAACTGTCTTCGACGTGGGCCAAAATGTATCCCTTTCCGGAAAAGGTGGGCAGACTTAGTAGGTACCTTAGCACGACGGAGGTGTGCTATATAGATCGCAAATTGAGTAGTTTTAATATGGTCCTATATTTTAACTTCTTTACTCTAACCTTAACCCCAAGACCTGATTCTTGATTCTGCTTGTCGAGGGACCGAGGGGCCGGGTGACCGAGGGGCCAAGGGGCTGGGTGAAGGAGGAGCCGAGTGACCGAGGGACCAGGCTCTACCACGAAGACCAGGGTCTACCACAAAAGACCAGAGTCCACCACGAAAGACCAGGGTCTACCAACGAGGGACCAGGGTCAACCTCAAAAAGACCGGGGTCTACCAACGACGGACCAGAGTCTACCTCGAAAAGACCGAAGTTTTCCTTGAAAGACCAAGGTCTACTAACGAGGGACCGGAGTCTACACACTATAGACGTTGGTCGACCGTCTAGGATCCTCGGTTTTGGCCTCTATTCCTCATGATTTTGCATCGCTTCAAAGCGATTCCTCCTTGTCTCCTTGCGTTCGAAATCCTGAAGTAAGGCTTTACAATTCAAATCCACTTCATCCACCCACGAGGGGTCTTCATTCCCTTTCCATAGGACGAGAAGCTCTCTTACTGTCTTCCGTAACGTGTTTTCTTTTCAGTGCGGGCTTCCAAGATCTCCTCGACCTCGTACTCTCCTTCTTCCAGCTCTATTGCCCAAATGTCCTCCGGTAACAGGCATTCATCGAAGTCGACCCGATCTTTTTTTGTCCGTCTCTAACGCGGCACTTGGTCGTTGAGGAACTCTCTAACGCTCTTGAGTTTGAAATAGATGTACCACAAGGACTAGCCTGTGCTCCGTGCCTCTAGTGTCCAAGCGTGCTGCGTGTTCTCCCACCGACTCTAGAACTCGAAATGGTCCATGCCAGAGATGGGCCAATTTCTTGGCGTACCCTTCTTTCACGCGGTACAGGTGGAGCCACACTTGAGTTCCTGGCTGTATCTTGTGGTCGACCACCCCTTCGTTATGGGCTAGGATCCGAGCTTGACTGGCCGCTCGTAGATTCTCATTCACCTGGGCTCTCGCCCGCTGATAGTGTTGCTGAATGTTATATCTTCATCTGCGTGGTCCAGATCCCCGATGTCGCGTATTTACCACACGTAAGGTAGCCTCGAGGGTGGTTCTATCATCCCAAACATGGACTAGATAGAGCGGCGTCTCCTTCCGGAGTCGGTCTTGCGCGGTGTTCATCGCAAACGTAAGTCGTTCTGCATACTCGTCCCAATCCTGCTGTCCGACATCAGAGACATACATCTTGATGGACCTAGTCAGGGTCTGGACCATTCTCTCCGGGGTCCCATTCGCCTGAGGTCGATAGGTCATGGTCGCCTGTTGACGCTGGCCAACCATGCGGCTAAATGCCCAAAAGGAATCCGACATAAATCCTGGTTCTTGATCGTGGCGGATTGCCTCGCTAGCACCAAAACGGCGAAAACGCATTCTTCGTACCCTTTAGCTACCGTCTGGGTCGTTCGCGTCGCACTGGCCTTGACCATCACGTACCCCGTGAACAGGTCGACCCAAATTAGTAGCTCGCTATTTCCTCTATGCGACCTGGGCAGAGAGGGAATGTGATCCATCGCTATGATCTGGAAAGGGTATGTTGCTTCGGCATTCCCTGGAGTCTTGCCCTGCAGGGTAGGTCCTCCTTTCCCTGTCTCGCAATCCGCACATGTCCCTACATACCTCTGTACGCTTCAGAATAAACCTCTCCAATGGCAGTACCGTCGGATTCGGTGATAGGTACGTCCAACCCCTTGGTGACCTCCTTCCAGACTGGTGTGGTAGTGATGCAGGACGTCGGCTTGGAGACTTTCGGGTATCACTAGTCTTGCCGTTGCTTCTCGGTCGTCTCCCTCGACTATCTGACCGGGACAATACAATAGTAGGCCCTCTTCAATTATCTCGTAGTCTTTGGCCATATTACTGCACGGTTGAGCGGTGTCCATGGATAGGTCGACCCAATCTCCTTTCAAGTAGGCCTTCAAATCTTTCACCCAGTCCTCTTGCCCTTGGGCCTCCTGATTAGATCCGTTCTGAGTCGTTGCATCACACCCTCTTGCCGGATTTCCCCTGACATTTTGATGGAAACTCGAGATCAAGTAACCGCAAGCACCTTGACCGATGGATTTTGGTCCTTGGGAATTAGTAGCTCTGGCAATCGATTAATCGCTTCCAGATTTGGCCATTCCCCTTCCGGTATCGACTTCATACCTTCCTTCTGACGCAGAGCTGTGTTGGCCAAGTGATCGGCCCTCTGATTCCAATCACGTTTTACGTGCCCAATTCCTTGGGTGGGCCATGACAGCAGCTTATTTAAAGCTCTTGCTCGTAATGGAGACAATTCTGCAGCCTTACACTCGATCTCTCCCCGCATTATCGTACCACCAAACTAGAATCTCCACAGATACTTAGTCGCCGTCGTTCTAGAGACTCTAACAGGTCGAAACCCAGTAGCATACCCTCATACTCGGCCTCATTTACTGTAGTGGTGATAAGGAACTTCGAAAAAGGCCTTGACTATGGTCCAATTAGGTTATTTCCATATAATGGCGCTACAGGCTCCACATAAAATTCATGACGTATAACTCTTCGTCAGTCTCCACAGTTGGTGTAGGTAGGTTGACCACTTGTCGTGCCTGTTTCTTAGGAGCAATTGACGACAAAATCGAGTCCACACTTTCTCCAAGAGTGATACTGGCTGCGAGCGCCCCAGTACTAGGTCTTCGCCTTTCTGTACTTAACAACCTCCATAGTCCATTGGGACAAGAGGGCAGCCCAATTACCAAGACATCCCTGTAAACCGTAGACCTGACTAGCCACGCCAATGTTAGAATGCCTTGTCAGGACCTTGAGGGGTCGAGTGACCAACATCGTAAAACAAGTTTCCATTGTCCGTAATAAAGCCAGCACTTCTTTCTTCACCGTACTGTGGTTCAATTCGTTGGCCTTAAGGGGCCGTTTCGTAAACATCACCGGCATTAGGATGTCACCATGGTCTTGCACCAACGACGCGAATATGGCCCATTCACTTGCATAAACGATAATTACTGTCTCCTTGGACGGGTCAAAGTGTCGCAAGATAGGTCCTGTGACAATTTTGTTCTTGAGCATAGCGAATGCTACTTGGGCCCTGGACCATTTCTCCTCGTTTTCTGCCACTGCCCCTCCCGTCTTCAACCCACATCGCCTATTGTGAAAATCTGCCTTCCGTAACTCATAAAGGATCGACGCATACGCTGCATAATCTTCAGTGAATCTCGCATAGTAATTCAGACTTCCAAGAAACAATTGCATGGATT